CCCCCGCGCCCCCGCGCCCCCGGTAAGCCTATGTCTAGCCCGGTATTAATTACATAATATAATTCCGCCTCCATTTCAGCTAACGGTCCTCCGGCAAGTATGTTTGGAGGTCAGAGTACATTTGGAGGTGGTGTCTTTGGAAGCAAGCCTCAACAGACCACCGGACTCTTTGGTGGTGCGACGGGCACGACGACCACGGGGCTGTTTGGTAACCAAGGCGCCACGCCCGGTTTAAGTGGTAACCAAGGTCTAGGTGGTAACCAAGGTCTAGGTGGTAACCAAGGTCTAGGTGGTAACCAAGGTCTCTTCGGCGGTGGTAACGCTACCGGTGGTGGGTTATTTGGTAGCACCACGACTCAACCCGCAAGCTTATTTGGCCAAGGCACTACCAACAATGGTCTATTCGGCGCTGCAGGCGGGACTCAGCAACCTAACAGCTTGTTCGGCGGCACAACCAACAACAGCGCCTTCAAACCAAACGGCAGTGGCCTCTTTGGTGGGGCTACAGCCGGAAGTCCGCAAACGAACACGAGTTCGACTGGACTCTTCGGCAATACCGCTCCACAGAACGCAGGTCTGTTTGGTTCACAGACTGCGTTTAATAACCAGCAGACGACTGCCTTCGGGAGCCAGCCAAACGGCTTACTAGGCCAAAACACTCTCGGCCAAAACACTCTCGGCCAAAACACTCTCGGCCAAAACACTCTCGGCCAAAACACTCTCGGCCAAAACACTCTCGGCCAAAACACTCTCGGTGCCCAGAACACCCTCGGTCAGAATACTCTACAGCCTACCAACAGTCTGTTCGGCGGCGCCAATAACACTGGCGGGGGACTGTTCGGTAGCACTCAGGCGCCCGCCACGACCGGTGGACTATTCGGTGGCCCCACCGCTAGCCAGCCTGGAACCGGGCTCTTCGGGGCCTCCCAGAATACCAACAGTGGCGGCCTCTTCGGCGGGGGTACCGCACCTGCAGCCGGTGGGCTATTTGGGACCACCCAGCAAACGGGCGGTCTCTTCGGAAACACGACGACTGCCGGTGCCCAACAAACGGGCCTCCTTGGCGCCAGTCAGACCACCACGGGCGGCGGCGGCCTCTTTGGAGGTGCCTCACAACCCCAGACAGGGTTGTTTGGAAACAACGCCTCCACCAACACTGCCGGCAATTCGGGAGGACTCTTCGGCAACAACAACGCTGGCGGCGGCGGACTCTTCGGCAGCAAGCCAGCCACTGGCAGCCTGTTTGGGAATGCGACCACGAACGCCACCGCCGGCACTACTGGCGGCCTCTTCGGAAGCTCCAACAACCTGCCCCGGACCACCACCACGACTGGAGGCGGTTTGTTCGGCAATACGAACACTACTACTGGCACGACTGGCGGAGGATTGTTCGGCAATACGGGTGCTGCTACTGGGACCACAGGCGGAGGCTTGTTCGGCAACGCAGGCACGAATACTGGGACAACTGGCGGAGGATTGTTCGGCAGCACAGGCACTGCGACAGGCACGACTGGCGGAGGATTGTTCGGTAACACAGGCACTGCGACAGGCACGACTGGCGGAGGATTGTTCGGTAACACAGGCAATACAAGTGGCACGACTGGCGGCGGGTTGTTCGGCAACACAGGCAATACAAGTGGCACGACTGGCGGAGGATTGTTCGGTAACACAGGCACTACTACTGGCACGACAGGTGGCGGATTGTTCGGCAATACGAACACAACTACTGGCACGACAGGTGGCGGATTGTTCGGCAATACGGGTGCTCCGTCGGGCTCGACAGCTGGCACGACTGGCGGAGGATTGTTCGGCGGTTCCGCGAGCCTGTTCGGCGGCGGTTCGAGTTCGGCGGCAGCCCCGACGGGATCAGCGTTGTTTGGATTAAATGTAGGCGGTGGCGCGGGAACAAGCCCCGCACCGGCGACTATGGGCGGGCCGGCGAAGGAAGATCCGTACCAGTTGAGTTCGATTGCGATTGCGAACGCGGCGAACATTTTGTACGGAACCCCGGCAAAGACGGTGCCAGTACGTCCGGCTGTGGCCCGTGTACCGGCCGGGTCCCGGGGATATCTGGGCACTCGTTCAGCAGCAGTAGTAGCGGAGACGCGGGCGTCGGCGGGTACGCCGGTAGCGGCGGTGCCGGCAGATCGGCGCACATCGCACGAAGGTAACATGTTTCTGCCATTAGAAAGTTTCTCGCCGTTGGTAGAGGGTACACGGTTGGGTTGGCGATCATCAGCACCGGCGGAGCCTCGTTTGGCAGACCAGCGACCTGCGGCTGTCGACCCTGCATTATTGCCAATTTTCTCGCGACAAGATTATACCTGTCGTCCGTCGATGGAAGCTCTCCGCAATTATACCGAGGAAGAGTTGAGTCGTGTGCAAGACTTTACCGTTACACGAGAAGGGTATGGGTCTGTTACCTGGCTAGGATTCACTGATCTCCGGAACCTCGACATTGATGCTGCGGTCTTCTTCGAACCAAAGGCTATCGAAGTTTACGGTGAGCTCTGGGAGAGTGTGATGAAACAGCGAGGCATTCAAAATCCTGAGAAACCCCCTCAAGGATTAGGACTGAACCATCCCGCACAAATTACACTTTACAACTGCCGACCGGCTAAAAATCGTCTTACCGGTAAAAGCGCTGATGAGCTTTTTGCCGAACAAGAGCGAAGGACAAGACAGTACTCGGAAGATGTCGGAGCTACCTTCATCAGTCTCTCCCCTGACTACGCCTGGACGTAAGCCTCTGACTCTGCTCTGTATAACTTTGCTCTGTATATGTGACTGTGCTATGTATAACTGTGCTGTGTGTGTAACTGTGTGTGTGTTGTAGATTCCGTGTGGAACACTTCAGCAGGTATGCTATGCCGGAGCATATTGCGTCTCCAGGTGAGGTGAAGAAAAGTAGGAGCAAGAAGCCTTTGGTACCTCGCCGTATTCAATCATCTAGGTTAGCCGTTGCGTCACGTAATGTCACTTACCGTGTAGGAACTGACCGGATGACGGCTTCCAAGTTATGGGCCATGGTGGAGAACGTTGGGTCTCTTAGTGTATGCGAAGACCGAGATGAGGAGAGTTCCGAAATAAATAGTTTAATTGACATGGAGGCCTTGGTACCATGTCTTGCCCACCCCTGCCGGCCCGTTGACCCAGTACAGATTGGACTGCATGCCTATAAGTTGTTTCGTCCTCATCAGAAACTTGACTGGTCAGTAGAAAGACCTACCCCTGCAGCCGTGGGTCGTTCCGTAAAGTTGATAGGCTTTCTTTGGTGTCATGATACGGACATATTGGGTGGTATAATTGATTGGTTATATAGTATGAATCGTGGGTATGAAGAGTCTGTTGTTGACTTTATACTGGCGAATCGAGGATCTGAAGCTGTGCGTCTTTGTATGGTCTCTAAACAGCTGCGTTTGGCGCTCATTATTCGTTGTTTATGGCAACCGCTTTTAATGCCAAGCGCGAGAATTACTGAACAATTAGTATCTTACTCTAAGCTTGGTTTAGTCGCCGACAACAAGACCACACTGGAGGTTCTGGCTCTGGCTGGTGGCCTAGTTAATAGTAGTGGCACCGTAATTAATGGTAGCGAAATTAAGTTCAAGTCATGGACACAATCTCTCGTAGCCATCCTTGTGTTCACCTTGAACGCCAATATGTACAGAATTAGTTTGCCAACTTACCAAGACCAGTTGCAGCTGCTAAAGTGTGCCTTGAACAATCTGAACACGATGTGTACTGACCAAGACACCGATTACCTGGATAACCTGGACTACCAATTACTGGTGTGCATTGTTCATAATCAAGTGATCAAACCTGATGACGGTATGCCTAGTCGTAGTGAGACTCGCTATCTAGATGCCCGTACGGAATCTAGCTATCAAGAAGGTCGAGGAGACGAAATCAGCAGCGTCTCGGCCCGAGACAGAGACCCATTACTGGGTGAACACGGCCCATTACTGGGTGATTATCCGGAAGCTTTTGGACTATGCCGATGGCTGTTGATGCTGCATGCGCAATACTGTCAAGACCCCAGTCTTAGCATGTTTGGTTGCATATCAGGTCTTCAGTCTAAACATGATGTATTCCCCGTAGGCTTGGTTAATTCAAAGTCACATCTTTACTGGCACTTGTTAAAGCATCAGCACACTCTTGTAAAGACGGATTTGATTGACCCAATATACCGTGCCTACTACCAGGTCGATCGTTTCGTAGTTAAGGATACAGGACTAGTTAAGGATACAGGAGTGGATACAGGAGTAGTTAAGAGTATGCTACCTCTCTGGTTTGTATATAGATGCCTTGGTGATTATTACCGGAGTTTAAAGAATTACTTAAACGCAGCTACATCATACTATCATATGGTTGACCATATATGTCATCAACACCAAAATGATTTACAACATAGTGGTTGGTGGGATGTGTTGAGTAAGAGTCCCACTGTGACTGTACCATCGGAATCTGAAGGCATGCTACTTGTCTTGCAATGTTTGCTCGAAGATGATTATCTTATCAATTGCTATCAAGTCATAATTGAAATGATTAAAGATGATAAAAATCGAGTAACATCACTTACCCAATGCTGTAATATGTCCCTAGCTGATATGATCATTGACAAGAAATTATTACAGCTAGTTCAAGTTCTATATAGCTATCATAAAAAACTTAACATTCAACAGATGACAACAACCCTCACTTCCCACGAACAAAGATATCAAACCTCCTGGTCTAATGAAGGTATCATTCCCCCCCCCTCCCCCCGAAGGTAC